CTACCACCACCACTTACCACCACCGACACCATTAATATCACCATCACCACCACAAGTGAAGAAATAAGCAAAGGAAGCTACTTCTTATCAGTTTCACAGAAGAAATTTGCCATGAAATTCCAGAGGTGGAACTGATATTTAAGGAAAGGAAGAAGAGAAATTAAAGAATATCACTATCAGAAAAGAGGATGGTCTTAAGAAGATAAATAAACTAAAGAAAAAAAAAATCCCTCAGGGCCGGATGAAATTTTTTCCCCGAGTCTTGAAAGAGTGTAGAACAGATTAGCGGACCCTCTTAAACTTATTTACAAAATCATTAGACACCGGAGTTGTGCCAGACTTGTGGAAACAGGCAAATGTAGTACCCATATTCAAAAGGAGACAGAGCATCAGCGTCAAATTACCGGCCGATCAGTTTGACGTCAGTAGTGGGAATTTCTTGAATCAATTATAGCAGATAGCATCCGATCGCATCTAGAGAAAAGCAAATTAATCTACGACTCTCAACATGGGTTTACAAAGGAAAAATCTTGTCTAACAAATCTAGCTGACATTTTTAGAAAGTCTTCGAGGTAGTAGATAATGACGAAAAATTACGATGTTATTTACTTAGACTTTAGCAAAGCATTTGACAGAGTACCGCATCAGAGGCTTCTGAGAAAAATTAAGGCTCATGGTATCGAGGGAAAGTTTTAAATTGATAAAATCATGGCTCACCGATAGAACGCAGAGGGTCAGCGTAGATGGTGTTAACTGAGTGGGGCCGTAACCAGTGGGGTTCCCCAGGGTCAGTACTTGGCCCACTGTTGTTCATAATCTACATAAAACGATCTAGATACTGGGATCAGCAGTGACATAAGCAAGTTTGGGGATGACACCAAAATAGGGCGGCAAATTAATTCAGGGCAGGATGCAAATGCATTACAGGAGGATCTAAATAAACTGCAGGGGTGGTCTGAAAAAATGGCAAATGAAATTCAACACCAGCAAGTGCAGCGTACTTAATATTGGAAGAACAAATACTTATAATGTATACAGCCTTTAACAACATCAACCTAGAGAAGTCGACTTGTGAAAGAGACCTAGGGTACTTGTAAGCCCGGACCTACGGCCTAGAAAACAGTGCATTAATGTTCGAAATAAGGCAAACAGAGTATTGGGTTTTATATCTAGAAGTGTAAGTAACAAGAGTGCAGAGGTCTTATTGCAACTATATCTTGCGTTAGTCGACCGCACCTCGATTATGCGGTTCAGTTCTGGTGTCCCTATTATAGAATGGATATAAATTCACCAGAGTCGGTGCAGCGAAGAATGACAAAAATGATTCCGGGACTTAGAAACCTTCCATATCAAGATAGGTTAACTTGCATTCCTAGAAAGACGAAGAGTGCGGGAGATATGATAGAAGTATTTAAGTGGGTGAAAGGAATCAATAAAGGTGATATAGATAAAGTTCTTATAATATCCGAGCAGGATAGGACTCGGAGCAACGGATTCAAGTTGATAAGTTTAGGTTTAGGAGGGAGATAGGAAGAAACTGGTTCACAAATAGGGTGGTGGACGAGTGGAACAAGCTAGCAACTTGTAGTAAGTGCTGGAACTCTGGAAAGTTTCAAAGGAGGCTAGATAGCATGGATGATAGAGAGTGGTAGTAATTCTCGACAGGGAGCTGCCATGCACAGGCCAACCGGCCTATTGCAGACTCCTTATTTTCTTATGTTCTTATGTTCTAACTACCACCATCACCACCACTACTGTCACCACCACTACCGCACCACTACCACATCACCACCACTACTACCACCACCACCACTATCACCACTGCCACCACCACCACCACCGCCACTACCACCACCACCACTACATCACCACCGCCAACACTACCACCACCACTACTATCACCACCACTACACCACCACCACCACTATCACCACTGCCACCACCACCACCACCGCCACTACTACCACCACCACCACTATCACCACTGCCACCACCGCCATCACTACCACCACCACTACTATCACCACCGCCAACACCTACCACCACCACCACCTTCCCGGGTCAGATGTTATAGAGCGTCACCAGCTCCCTCCCTCACCGCAGGATGACCTCGGGGCGGTAGGTTCACGCCCATACTAGGTGAGGTTCACGCCCACATCAGGCAGGCAGGTTCACGCCCACATTAGGCAGGTTCACGCCCACATTAGGCAGGTTCACACCCACACTAGGAGGGTCACGCCCACACTAGAGTAGGTTCACGCCCACATTAGGCAGGTTCACGCCCACACTAGGCAGGTTCACGCCCACATTGACTCGGTTCTCCTCGTGGTTCTTGAGTTGAGTTGAGGTGAGTCAATTTTAGTGTTTCTTAACTTTAAACTGCATCTGGTCACCTGAAGATCAACCACCCAAGCTTATGTCATCTGAAAATCAACCACCCAAGCTTATGTCATCTGAAGATCAACCACCCAAGCTTATGTCATCTGAAGATCAACCACCCAAGCTTATGTCACCTGAAGATCAACCACCAAGCTTATGTCATCTGAAGATCAACCACCAAGCTTATGTCATCTGAAGATCAACCACCCGCTTATGTCACCTGAAGATCAACCACCCGCTTATGTCACCTGAAGATCAACCACCCAAGCTTATGTCATTCGAAGATCAACCACCAAGCTTATGTCATCTGAAGATCAACCACCCAAGCTTATGTCACCTGAAGATCAACCACCCAAGCTTATGTCACCTGAAGATCAACCACCCGCTTATGTCACCTGAAGATCAACCACCCAGCTTATGTCACCTGAAGATCAACCACCTCATCTAATTTACCCAGGTAGCATTAGGGTGGGTATAATTTTCAGGTGGTACCAAAGTGGCGGGGTTGGGGGATGGGATGGATGGAGGGAAGGGGGGTGGGTGGAGGGGGTTAATATTCAGGTGAATCCTAAAATCTTTACCAGGATAAAAACATCAAGAGTGAAACACATTATACCTGTTGTTGTTATTGTCTCGTGTGTGTGTGTGTGTGTGTGTGTGTGTGTGTGTGTGTGTGTAAGGACGTCCTGGTGAGAGTCCGCTGTGGCTGCTTAACACTCAGGTAAACAGGGACGACTCTAGTGATGAGGGCGCAGGGGCGTGACATGGGTGTGTTGTGGGGCGTGACATGGGTGTGTTGTGGGGCGACGTGGGTGTGTTGTGGGGCACATGGGTGTGTTGTGGGCGGGACATGGGTGTGTTGTGGGCGGGACATGGGTGTGTTGTGGGCGGGACATGGGTGTGTTGTGGGGCGGGACATGGGTGTGTTGTGGGCGGGACATGGTGTGTTGGGGCGGGACATGGGTGTGTTGTGGGCGGGACATGGGTGTGTTGTGGGGCGGGACATGGGTGTGTTGTGGGCGGGACGTGGGTGTGTTGTGAGGCGGGACATGGGTGTGTTGTGGTGTGTGTGTGTGTGGTTAAATGGACTGGTATCCCTATATGTGGTGCCTGGGTGTCAGATGGGACAGAGAGATAACACCAGCTGAGTCACTGCTCCCAACCCAACCTAACCTAACCTAACCTAACCTAACCTAACCTAACCTAACTCATACAATACGTAAAACAAACATCATTCCAGAATAAACATTTTATACGTACGACCAACTTAACAAAACATATAACACGTGGACCTATCCGAGGTGTGTCACGCAGGTCGACAATAAGGGTCATTGAGTACTGCGTGATAAGGGCACCGATTCGAGTCCACCAGGTATGTCCAATTTATTCCTATGTCTTGGGAGAGCCACGCAGGTAAATAACGAAATGGGTCTATCCTTATGTTACCATGGTTATGTCCTTCATCCCTGTGTGTTGTCATGGTTACCTCCCTCCATCCCTGTGTTGTCATGGTTACCTCCTTCATCCATACCCTCCTCCCCATAATGGCATCAAGATGAGCCTCGTACACATGACGCCAGCCATCACTGACCTCACTGTCTTAATGAGTATAATAAGTCGTGTGGGAGCGTGCAGTTGTGGGACCCGGATGAGTTGTTGGTGCATCGCGACGCTTACCATTATACCTGCCTAACTCAGCGACCTCCATCCTCCTCCTCCTCCTCCTCTTCTCTTAGTCTTCCTCCACCTCCTCTTTTCCCCTCCTCCTCTTCTTCCTCCATCTGTCTCTTCCTCCCTCTATACCTACCTCCATCCTTAAACTATAAACAAATCTAAATGATATTTTTCCATCACGTCAAAATTCAATTACTGTATCGACGACCATTTCAGGTACACACAACAAAAAAAATAAAATAATATACAGTATGTAAAAAATATCACCTTGGCTAGCAGGAATTTACGACCGATATTTTGGTGTTGTAAAAACAAGACGTCGTTATGAGAGTTTTTAGTTTTTTTTGGTCGGACTGAAGTATAATGGCTGGTAATTTTGATCAGTAATGATATGCGCAGGAAATGGCGATTGCATTTGGTCTGCCAATGACAGTCATTTGGTCTATTAAACACTATGGAGACGAAAAATCGATTCCCAGCAGACATTGTTGAAGTTATGCATTACGTACATGACCTGTGGGACCTGTGGGGATGGGGGAGGGGGGAGTGGGGGAGTAGGGAAGGGTGGTTAGTGAGGGAGGAGGATGGAAGGGGAAGAAGGAAGTAGGAGGGAGGGGTGAGAGGAAGGGGAAGGGGGAAAAGGGGAGGAAGTGGGGGGGGGACCTCATGACACACACCACCATGATCGTTACCAGAGGAGGAAACAGAGAGTCAATAATAACATACATCATAAAGAGAGGAGAGAGAACAAAAAAATTAGAGAAGAAGAAGAAAGAGGAGGGAGGAGGAGGAAGACCCATGTGGTGAGGAGGTCATAAAATAGATAGGTAATAGCTCCACGCCACGTTAAACTCAGGTCATGAACTGGAGAGCAGCAAGAACCTTTATTTTTATGTGGTCTAAGATGATCAGGTGAGAGTTGTGTTGTATATAAGTCGGGTGTCACTTCACTGTCGTAACACTGTGCCCGCGGCTACGAGGTGCGGCGGCGGGGCTGTAAGGTGTGGCGGGGCTGTAAGGTGCAGCGGGGCTGTAAGGTGCAGCGGGGCTGTAGGTGCAGCGGGGCTGTAAGGTGCGGTTGGGGCTGTAGGTGCGGCGGGGCTGTAAGGTGGCTGGGGCTGTAAGGTGGCGGGGCTGTAAGGTGTGGCTGGGGCTGTAAGGTGTGGCTGGGGCTGTAAGGTGCGGTGGGGCTGTAAGGTGGCGGGGCTGTAAGGTGTGGCGGGGCTGTAGGTGCAGCTGGGGCTGTAAAGTGGGCTGGGGCTGTAGGTGGTGGGGCTGTAAGGTGTGGCGGGGCTGTAAGGTGCGGCGGGCTGTAGGTGCGGCAGGGCTGTAAGGTGCAGTGGGGCTGTAAGGTGTGTGGGGCTGTAAGGTGCGGTGGGCTGTAGGTGTGGCTGGGGCTGTAGGTGCGGCGGGGCTGTAAGGTGCGGTGGGGCTGTAAGGTGCGGTGGGCTGTAGGTGCGGCTGGGGCTGTAGGTGCAGTGGGGCTGTAAGGTGGCTGGGGCTGTAAGGTGCGCGGGCTGTAAGGTGCGGCTGGGGCTGTAAGGTGCAGCTGGGGCTGTAAGGTGCAGCTGGGGCTGTAAGGTGCGGGGCTGTAGGTGCGGTGGGGCTGAAAGGTGCGGCTGGGCTGTAAGGTGCGGCTGGGGCTGTAAGGTGCGGCTGGGGCTGTAGGTGCGGCGGGGCTGTAAGGTGCAGCGGGCTGTAAGGTGGGGCTGGGGCTGTGGGTGCGGCGGGCTGTGGGCAGTGGGGCTGTAAGGTGCAGCTGGGCTGAAGGTGCGGCTGGGGCTAAGGTGCAGCGGGGCTGTGGCAGTGCGGCGGGGCTGTAAGGTGCGGTGGGGCTGTAAGGTGCGGTTGGGGCTAAAGGTGGCTGGGTCTGTAAGGTGCGGTGGGCTGTAGCGCGGCGGGGCTGTAAGGTGTGGCTGGGGCTGTAGGTGTGGCTGGGGCTGTAAGGTGCAGTGGGGCTGTAGGTGCGGTGGGGCTGTAAGGTGTGCGGCTGGGGTCGTAATGTGCGGAAGGGGTGTGGTAGGTGCGCTGGGGCTGTAGGTGCTGCATGGGCTGTAGGTGGGCTGGGGCTGTAGGTGCGGTGGGGCTGTATGGTGCGGTGGGGCTGTAGGTGCAGCAGGGCTGTAGGTGTGGCTGGGTCTGTAGGTGCGGCAGGGCTGTAGGTGCAGCTGGGGCTGTATGCTATTGGGGCTGTAAGGTGTGGTTGGGCTGTAAAGTGGGCTGAGGCTGTAAGGTAGCCAGGCTGTAAGGTGTGGCTGGGCTGTAAGGTGTGGGCTGGGGCTGCAAGGTGCGGCGGGGCTGTAGTGCAGCGGGGCTGTAAGGTGCAGCGGGGCTGTAAGAGGTGGCTGGGGCTGTAAGGTGTGGCTGGGGCTGTGGGTGCAGCGGGCTGTAGGGTGGGGCTGGGGCTGTAAGGTGCGGCGGGGCTGTAGGTGCAGCAGGAGCGTGCGGCAGGGCTGTGGAGTGGCAGGGCTGTAAGGTGGCAGGGCTGTAAGGTGCGGCGGGGCTGTAAGGTGCGGCAGGGCTGTAAGGTGCGGCGGGGCTGTAAGGTGTGGCTGGGCTGTGGGTGGCTGGGGGCTGTGGGTGCAGCAGGGCTGTGGGCAGTGGCGGGCTGTGGGTGGGGCTGGGGCTTGTAAGGTGCAGCGGGCTGTAGGTGTGCGGGCTAGTGCGGCGGGGCTGTAGGTGTGGCGCTGTAGGTGCGGCAGGGCTGTAAGGTGCAGCGGGGCTGTAGGGCGGCAGGGCTGTAGGTGCAGCAGGGCTGTGGGTGTGTGGGGCTGTAAGGTGCGGCGGGGCTGTGGGTGCAAAGTGGCGGGGCTGTGGGTGCAGTGGGGGCTGTAGGTGCAGCAGGGGGCTGTAGGGTGCAGCGGGGCTGTAGGTGCGGCGGGCTGTGGGTGCAGGCGGGGCTGTAAGGTGCGGTGGGGCTGTAAGGTGGGGCTGGGGCTGTAAGGTGCGGCAGGGCTGTAGGTGCGGCAGGGCTGTAGGTGCGGCGGGCTGTAAGGTGTGGCTGGGGCTGTGAAGTGCAGCGGGCTGTAAGGTGCAGCAGGGGTTGCTGCGGTGGGGGCTGTAAGGTGGTGGGGGCTGTAAGGTGCGGCGGGGCTGTAAGGTGTGGCGCTGTAAGGTGTGGCGGGCTGTGGCAGCAGCGGGCTGTGGGTGCGGCGGGCTGTAGGTGCAGCGGGGCTGTGGTGCGGCGGGCTGTAAGGTGGCTGGGGCTGCAAGGCGGCGGCTGTAAGGTGCAGCTGGGGCTGTAAGGTGGCTGGGGCTGTAGGGTGGCTGGGGCTGTAAGGTGTGGCTGGGCTGTGAGGTGCAGCGAGGCTGTTAGGTGCGGCTGGGGCTGTAAGGTGCAGCAGGGCTGTAAGGTGCAGCAGGGCTGTAAGGTGTGGCGGGCTGTGTGGGTGCAGCAGGGCTGTAAGGTGCGGCGGGGCTGTAGGTGGGAGCTGGGCTGTGGGTCTGGCTGGGGCTGTAAGGTGCAGCGGGGCTGTTTGGCAGTGGCGGGCTGTGAGGTGCGGCAGGGCTGTAGGTGTGTGGCAGGGCTGTAGGTGGGGCTGGGGCTGTAAGGTGGGGCGGGGCTGTAAGGCGCGGGGCTGTAAGGTGCAGCGGGGCTGTAAGGTGGGGCTGGGCTGCTATGGTGGGGCTGGGGCTGTAAGTTCTGGCTGGGGCTGTAGGTGCGGCATGGGCTGTAAGGTGCAGCAGGGCTGTAAGGTGCGGCAGGGCTGTGGCAGGGGCTGTAAGGTGGGGCTGGGGCTGTAAGGTGGGGCAGGGCTGTAAGGTGCAGCAGGGCCGGGTGCAGCAGGGCTGTAAGGTGCAGCGGGCTAGGTGTGGCGGGGCTGTAAGGGTGCGGCGGGAGCTGTATGGTGGGGCTGGGGCTATAAGGTGGGCTGGGGCTGTAGGTGCAGCGGGGCTGTAAGGGGTGCAGCGGGGCTGTAAGGTGCAGCTGGGGCTGTAAGGTGGGGTTAGGGCTGTGGTTGGGGCTGTATGGTGCGGCTGGGGCTGTAAGGTGGGGCTGGGCTGTAGGGTGGGCTGGGGCTGTAAGGTGGGGCTGGGGCTGTGGGTGCGGCGGGCTGTAAGGTGGGGCTGGGGCTGTAGGTGGGGCTGGGGCTGTAAGGTGGGCTGGGGCTGGGGCGTGTGTGGCGGGGCTGTGCGGCGGGGCTGTAGGTAATGGGGCTGTAAGGTGGCGGGCTGTGGGGTGGGGCTGGGGCTGTATGGTGGGCTGGGGCTGTAAGGTGGGGCTGGGGCTGTAAGGTGGGGCTGGGGCTGTATGGGTCAGGCTGTAAGGTGGGGCTGGGGCTGTAAGGTGCAGCGGGCTGTAAGGTATTTGGGGCTGTAAGGCGGCTGGGAGGCTGTATGTGGGGCTGGGGCTGTAAGGTGGGGCTGGGGCTTAGGCTGGGGCTGTAAGGTGGGGCTGGGGCTGTAAGGTGGGGCTGGGGCTGTAAGGTGGGAAGGTGGCTGGGGCTGTATGTTGCGAATGCGGGGGCTGTAAGGTGGGCTGGGGCTGTAAGGTGCAGCGGGGCTGTGAGGTGGGCTGGGGCTGTAAGGTGGGCTGGGGCTGTAAGGTGGGGCTGGGGCTGTAAGGTGGGGCTGGGGCTGTAAGGTGGGGCTGGGGCTGTAAGGTGCTGGGGCTGTAAGGTGGGGCGGGGCTGTAAGGTGCGGCGGGGCTGTAAGGTGGGCTGGGGCTGTAAGGTGCGGCGGGGCTGTGAGGGGTTGGGGCTGGGGTGGGGGGGGCTAAGGTGGGGCTGGGGCTGTAGGTGGGCTGGGGCTGTAAGGTGGGGCTGGGGCTGTAGGTGGGGCTGGGGCTGTAAGGTGGGGCTGGGGCTGTAAGGTGGGCTGGGGCTGTAAGGTGGGCTGGGGCTGTAAGGTGGGCTGGGGCTGTAAGGTGGGCTGGGGCTGTAAGGGTGGGCTGGGGCTATGCGTCTTCTTGTTGCTACGGTCCTGAAACTGGAAGCGTGTTCTTCGACTTGATAGATCGACACAGACAGACAGACACGGGCGGAGACAGACACAGACACGGGACCGACACGGACAGACAGACACAGACAGACAGACACGGACAGACAAACAGACAGACAGACAGACAGACAGACAGACACGGACCGACACGACAGACACACACAGACAGACAGACACAGACGGACAGACAGACAGATAGACAGACACGGACAGACACGGACAGACAGACAGACAGACACGGACAGACAGACAGACAGACAGACAGACAGACAGACAGACACGGACAGACAGACAGAAACACAAACAGACAGACACATCAGCTCAGTGTTGGTGAAGGTGTACAGTACAGGACCATGTACAGTACAGGACCATGGTGTACAGTACAGGACCATGGTGTACAGTACAGACCATGTGTACAGTACAGGACCATGGTGTAGCACAGGACCATGGTGTACAGTACAGGACCATGGTGTACAGTACAGGACCATGGTGTACAGCATGTGACCACGGTGTACAGTACAGGACCATGGTGTACAGTACAGGACCACGGTGTACAGTACAGGAATCATGTACAGTCACCATGGTGTACAGTACAGGACCATGGTGTACAGTACAGACCATGGTGTACAGTACAGGACCATGGTGTACAGTACAGGACCATGGTGTCAGTACAGGACCATGGTACAGTACAGGACCATGGTGTACAGCACAGGACCACGGTGTACAGTACAGGACCATGGTGTACAGTTGGACCATGGGCGTGTACAGTAAGGACCATGGTGCCAGTACAGACCATGGTGTACAGTACAGGACCACGGTGTACAGTACAGGACCACGGTGTACAGTACAGGACCACGGTGTACATATATAGACCATGGTGTACAGTACAGGACCATGGTGTACAGTACAGGATCTGTGTACAGTACAGGACCATGGTGTATGTACAGGGACCATGGTGTTGTACAGGACCACAGTGCACAGTACAGGACCACGGTGTAGTACTAGGACCATGGTGTACAGTACAGGACCATGGTGTACAGTACAGGACCATGGTGTATGTGCACAGGACCATGGTGTGCAGTACAGGACCATGGCGGTAAGGTACAGACCATGGTGTACAGTACAGGACCATGGTGTACAGTACAGGACCATGGTGTACAGTACAGGACCAGGTGTACAGTACAGGACTATGATGTACATACAGACCACGGTGTACAGTACAGGACCACGGTGTACAGTACAGGACCATGGGTGTCAGTAGGACCACGGTGTAGTACAGGACCATGGTGTACAGTACAGGACCATGGTGTACAGTACAGACCATGGTGTACAGTACAGGACCACGGCAGTACAGGACCATGGTGTACAGGACCATGGTGTCAGTACAGACCATGATGTACAGTATGAGACCATGGTGTACAGACAGGACCATGGTGTACAGTACAGGACCATGGTGTACAGTACAGACCATGGTGTACAGTGAGGACCATGATGTACAGTACAGGACCATGGTGTATAGTACAGGACCATGGTGTACAGTACAGGACCATGATGTGCAGTACAGGACCATGGTGTTACAGTGTGTTAATCTATGCATGGATGAGGAACCCTAACCTGGCTGGTTGCCTGAGTCCATTAAGACTGGGGCCCATTAAGACTGGGGCCTGTTAAGACTGGGACCCATTAAGACTGGGGCCTGCTAAGACTGGGCCTATTAAGCCTGGGACCCATTAAGAGTTCGGACCATTAAGATTCGGACCCATTAAGATTTAGGACCCTATTAAGATCTGCACCCCATTTATCAAACTATTAAGCCTGGTCCATTAAGACTGGGGCCCATTAAGATTAGGACCCATGATTCGGACCCATTAAGACTGCGCCCATGGGCGATTCGGACCCGTTAAGACTGGGGCTCATTAAGACTGGGGCCCACTAAGACTGGGGCCCATTAAGATTCGGACCCATTAAGACTGGGGCCCATTAAGCCTGGGACCCATTGGAATGGGCCTATTAAGATTAGACCCAGCCACTGGGGCCCATTAAGATTGGGGTCTATTAAGACTAGGACCCGGTAAGACTGGGGCCCACACTGGGGCCTATTAAGCCTGGGGCCCATTAAGACTGGGGCCTGTCTAGATTAGGGACCCATTAAGACTGGGGCCCATTAAGACTGGGCCTATTAAGCCTGGGGCCCATTAAGATTGGGACCCATTAAGACTGGGGCCCATTAAGATTGGGCTATTAAGACTAGGGACCCATTAAGACTGGGGCCCATTAAGACTGGGCCTATTAAGCCTGGGGCTTACGGCACTGGGGCCTATTAAGACTAGGACCCATTAAAATTAGGACCCATTAAGACAGGTTCTCACATCTGCAGCCACAGACACACTTAACTCAGGTAACTTTTAAGGAAACTGCCGGCTTTACCACGGGAGATGATAAATTCCCAGCGGTTAATGTTCTATATTGTGACATTAACCACATTAGAAGTAATGTAATTGGTTAATGGTAGTTTGAAGTATTGGCGCATCATAACGTAACAGGATAGAAGGAGGCGTATTTACAGTGGTCAGGTTATTATCACCGTAACACCTTGACCACCCCATTAATCTTAATTGGACAAGGTCGTTTGGTTAACTTAACTATTTTATTTTTTTTTGTTTGTTAACTAACCTAACCTAACGTGGCGCAACATTAACATAATTTGGGTAATGTAAAGACGTAAATATTGTAAATTATATCATATTCGAAGATATTGTAATGTTAGTGTAATGTAAAATATTGTAAATTCTACATATTGGACTTGAATTTTGTAAATTATGTATTTTGTGTTTCAAGTAACGTAAATTAATATTGTGACTAAGATATTGTAACTCACATATTAGGTAACGTAATATATGTTGTTGTTGTAGGTTAATTATCACTGTCCATTGAGGTGTTGTACTGTGAGGAGTCAAGATATTGTAAAAAAATTTTAATATATCCTATTTATGTACACTTAAGATATTGTAAATTACTTTATATACCGTAAGAATCTGTAAACCAAAATATTATTGTTATAAATATCGTAAATCACATTATTCTCCTCTGAAAATATCTAAATCACATATTATTGCCTTAAAATATCGTGTAAATCACATATTATTCCACATATATATCAAAATCACTTTAATATTATACCTTAAAATATCGTAAATCACATATCGTTCCTTATAATATCGTAAATCACATGGTATTTTAAAGAATGCGTACTTCTCATCGTTCTAAATGTAAATCATATATTATTTCTTGAAAATATTGAAATACATAATATTGTTTAATATGTGAAATATATATGATTTCTTGTACACGTAAATTAATGTTTCTTGGGATTGTTAACTTTTCTTT